CCGACTCTGACAGTCGGTCACTCTTCTTCTGTTCTAACAACAGACGAGCGTCTGTGTATGTTTTCTTCGACCCATCCGCCTGAATGTGACGAACAGGTTTCCTATTTCCCATCGGATGACGGAATTTTGTGAAATCAAGAGCAAGCGGCTCCCGCTTCTTGGATTTAGGATGAGGGGTCGCCTCTCGCCCTTGAACTGGCTTCCTCTTCAGTGAAGTGGAAGATTTTTTGGCCGACTGCTCTTTGACTGCAGCAGGCGGCTTTTTGTTGATCAATTCTTGAATCTCTCCCTTGAAGCCCCTCATGAAGGTCATGAGTTCGTTCCTTGTGATGGGAGCAGACCCATCAGTCGGCTGTTGCCGAGCAGGCTGGGCGCCTGCTGGCTCGCTTCCTGTTTGAAGATGCTCCCGTTCCCTCCTTTCGGTATGACGGGTACGTCGGGCCCTTAGGGTCCCGTCTGGAGCTGTATGAGTTTCAACTTCAAATTCACTTTCGGTATCATGGTCCGACTGAACTTGAGGGTCGTCTAGGGGACGCCTCTCTTCAGGAGTCGGTACAGACTTGGATGCCATCTCAGAAGTACTCTCCCCACAGACGGCGCCAAATGTTTCGGGGTTTCCTGATGTCCTGCGGGAGAGTTACAATTCCGAGACTGGAACCGGACGCCTGTACCTGCAAAATAACGGAGACTCCTGAGAGCTCCGCCTCCAACGGTCAAGTTAGTACCTGATTAAGGAGTAATGATTACGGAAATTAAAGTAATAAGGTCTCTCTAGGTGAGAGTGTTTAATGTATGATCCGTGAGTGATTAGTGTTCTGTCACTTTTTCTCTCTCTGATTCTCTCTCTTTCGTCCTCCTCTTAATGAGGATTAAGAGGAGTATTTATAGTCTTGAGAAGCGTGCCACTCTCTAGGTTTAGGGTAAACCTAGGGCTGACCGGGCTTCTAAGCAGGATTGGGCCTTGGTGGCCGGTTTTCCCATTTGGCATGGGTGGACACATGGCGTGTCTCAATTGGTCCGCAGAGGACGTATCTGTGATTGACACGTGGCAGGCTCCTATTGGCCTACGTGAAGGACACGTGGCGGAACCTGGTTGGTCCACTTGTCAGACGGTGATTGGAGGATAAAAATCCCCTAATCAACTTGTATGGGTATTATTGGTTTTGGTCAGGGGTTACTTGTAAGGTGTTACCAGTTTTGTTTGGGGTTACTTGTAGGTGTTATTTGTATTCTTGGGTTACTTGTATGAGTGTTACTAGTTTTGGTCAGGGATTACTTATTGGGTGTTACAGGTTTGGTATAGGGTTTTGGTCCAGAGTTACTTGTAGGAGTTACTCAGAATACAAGTAACCCCACATATAAGTAACCCCAGAATACAAGTAACTCATACAAGTAACCCTAGAATACAAGTAACACCCTACAAGTAACCCTTGCCGCACTGAAAAACCTCTGTAAGTTTTATTATAAATTTATTTAGCAAACAAGTTTGTCTTATAAATATGATTATGCACACACGTTCATATTGTTATGTTATAACTCACAACAAATAATATTAAGAGGCAATTCAAACACCTAACTTTTTATTTTAAAAAAAATGATCAAACTAAGGTATAAGTATACAATATTAATTAGGTTAGGACCCGTGCGATGCACAATTCTATATAAAACCTTGTAAAAAAAAGTAATTTTAAAATTTTAGAGATATAGTACGATTCAACGTCACCTACTACATATTTCAATGTAGGTCATTTATTAGTATGCCGTTTAAAATTATTTTAATTGCTAAAGATAAATTGATAGGCTTTAGCTGTAATATTAAATTGTGCAATATTTAAATTATTTTTCAGGAGCATTCGGCGCGCCACATAAGAAAAGGTGTTATTTTGTCCAATGAAAAATTAGATTAATAATTTATTTTAGAATTAAAAAATTTACTCGCTTTAAATTATTTTTTTTAAAAATAATCATTATCTTCTTTTTTTTAAAAAAAACACCTAAGTAATAAACAATGTTGTAATTAAAAAAAAAAAAATTGTCAAAAACTACCTATTATACTCCAGAATTTGCGAAAAACTACCTATTAAAAAAAATGTTGTAATTAACTACCTATTTTTTAAAAAATGTTGTAATTTACTACCTGTTGCCGAATTTTGTAGTTTGACCATAATTCTCTAGCGTTGACTTAGTCACGTGCTACTCACGTGAGACTTAATGACCATTTCTTCCCCAAATTTCCCCCAAATTGCTTCCCACTAACCCCTAATTTCACGACTTTTTCCCAGGGGACTTGTTAAACATCGCCCGCGTTTTTCTACATAAAGCCCACATTTTTTAAAAATTTTGACATTATTGCCCTTGTTTTAATTTTTACCGAAAATGAAAATTTTCACTCACCAAAAATGAGGAGCAGGACTGGATCGCCGAGTGAAACCGAAGAGCCCTCAACGTCGGCTAGATGCACCGGAGAGACGCCGTTGACGCCGGAAAAGGAGGTACGAAGCCATCTAAAACCACGAATTGGCGGCTGGCGTCCTGCCGGGACGCCGTGACCGTAGTGGTGGCGCCTAGCCAGGACGCTGCCTCCGTAGGTATGGCGCCTGGCTAGGACGCCGCCACCGTGGCCGTGGCGTCTGGCCAAGACGCCGCCACCATGAAAGCGGCGTCCTGGCCAGGCGCCATCGTCACGGTGGCGGCGTCCTGGCTAGACGCCACCGCCACGGTAGCGGCGTCCTGGCTAGGCGCCACTGCATTTTTTTTTTTTTTTTTAATTTAATTTAAAATTTGTTTTTTTTTTTTTTTTGTGTTACAATTTTTTTTCGTTTTTTTTTGGTTTTTTTTTGTTTTGTTTTTAATTGTTTTAAAATGTAATGTAAAATTTTGTGTTTGATTTTTGTGTTTTTGATCGCTATGTTTTTTATGTTTATTTTTTTTTTTTGTTTTTATTTTTTTGGTTTTTTTTTTATTTTAATCTAAAGTTTTGTTTATGTTTTTTATTTTTGTGTTTTGTTTTTTTTTTTTTTTTTGAATACTTTTTGTTTATGTTTTTTATTTCTTTGTTTGTTGTTTATATTTTATTATTGTTTTTGCTTTTGTGCTAATGTTGTGTCAAATGTATTAATTTAATCTAATCTTATGTGATTATATTTATATGTTATTGTTGCAGGATTATGGTGGAGACGGAAATGATTATAGTGGGATTTTTGTACACGATGGTCTGTTCGAAGATGCTCAACAAGCGGTTGATTGGGCGAAACATGTTGCAATTAGATCAGGTTTTTGTTTAGTAGTAGCAACTCATAAATCTCAACGGGATGGTAGAATGGATCGCATTTTGAGATGCGACCGTTATCGCAAAAGGGAGGAACGAGATTTCAGTCAAGCGATTCGGTTTGATACAAAGCGGAAAGGTTGTGGGTGTTAGTTCAGAGTAAAGGTTCGACAACAGCAAAGGGGTGACGGTTGGGAAGTGAAGAGTTACGGTAAATGGGGGTATCACAACCATGAGATGATCGCATATGAAGTGGGTCATCGACAGTTAAGTGGCCTAAGTCCTGGTGCGAAACTAATTGTAAAAGAAATGAGTGATGCTCAAGTGAAGCCTGCTAAAATATTAGCATCTGTGTTGGAGAAATTTCCTGAAGACCAGCCAAACCGAAGACACATCTACAACGTCAGACAGAAATTGAGGTTTGAACGGTCAGAGGGAAGGAACCCTATACAGCAGCTTCTACACCAGGCACAAGCACGTGGTTACCTGTACTGCTTGGGGTTGATTCTGAGCGAGCACACCAGGATGAGGGAGTTGGGTGATGAAGTGGCTATTCGGTGCGGATGTGCTATATCGGTGACTCATGGACTACCTTGTGCATGCACCATTCACCGCGTAATTACGCAAGATAGGGCGTCGTTACATGTTGATCAGGTTCATCCATTCTGGCGGACGCTCGTTATCGGAGAGCATGCTGTTCCACAGACAGTCAACCGTGAACAGGAGGAGTTGGAGCAGTTTCGTTCGATGTTTGACCAAGTGTCCTCCAGCCACCCTTCAATCATTCGTAGTGCTACCCACGTACTTCATGACATGTTCAACTCGTCGTGCTTGGATCATGAGGAACCTGAGGGGGTCGAGCGACCACGGGGCCGACAACCACGGCGGGAAAGGAGTGCGTTTGAGTACATTCGTGGTCGTGGTCGTGGTCGTGGCCGTGGTCGTACATCGTCATCAAGTGGTAGTCAAACTTCTTCGTCGGTGAATATGCCCGGCACCGGTACGGTACTTTAGTTTAATTTACTTTTTAGAGTGTTTGTTTAGTTTTCTGCTGACTTGTTAATTGTGTTTTTTGATGTGTGCAACAGGTAGAATGGACATTGAACATTTTCCATATAAAGACAGGATCCCTAACATCATGATGCCGTTCCTCGACGGGTGGAATGATGTGGTTGCAGATGGTAACTGCGGATTTCGGGTTGTGGCTGATGTGTTTCAGATGGGTGAAGACAACTACGGTTTAGTGCGTCAGTTGATGTACAGTGAAATCGCCTCAAACCGAGCTGTTTATCGCCACGTGTACGGACAGGACTTGGATAGGTCTCTGCAGCGTATCCGGTGGGGAGGAGGACGTTGCGGTCAAAATCATTGGTTCGACGCGCCACTTGATCTCTTCGCCGTTGCAAACATCTACAAGTGTGCAGTGATGCATTTCGGCCTTGGTTTGCATGGTGGAGCTTACTATCCATGTACCACGGTTCTGCCTTGGTGTTCGCGTGAGACCGTCACCAGACCGGTAAGAGAGGTTGCTATTGGATTTCTGGGGCCGTCATACAGACATTTCATCCGACTGGACCTGTCACCCGATTTTCCGGTCCCACCGATCATACCAACGTGGTACACCATTCGTACAGCAAGCGTAGAGGGCTGGGATGCGCTATATCATGACCGGGTGCAGCAGTGGAACAATCTAGTTGCCTTTTCTATGTGACCTTCTATTGTTATTGCTATGTTATCCCCATTTATTTAATTTTCGGATTCTAATTTTCGTATTACTAGGGTTCTGGCCGAAAGGCATCCAGTTCACCTGCACATTTTTTAAAATTAGTAAGATTCATACAATAAACACATCAAACTATAAAAGTAGAAATAATTTAAACACTTTACCTCTAATGGGGACATCCTGTCAAGCAATAACCGTATCGATCGCAGGCGGTCAATGGACTTCTTCTCGACACGCGGACTCCACGCACAGGCACGTGGCTGGCCATCCCCAATAGGAACCGGGTCGCGGTGTGGTCGAAACGCCGGGAAATACTCGTATATCCACGTCTGTAACAACGTCATACATCCAGTGATACCTGCCGCATCAGCCCGGCTCGAGAATCCTAACTGGCGATACATGTACGCTAATGTAGCCGACCCCCAAGAAAACTGGCCTACTCTGTCGGGCTCACACGCGTCAACTATGTCGCGTGGCCTGAGCTTGTTTCCGCTCTTATCCGGAAACAAGGTACACCCGAGAAGAAGAAAAACATATGCAGCCAGCTGTGTGTCCTGCGTCCTACGTGAAGTGGGGTGCAAACATCGCTGCAAAACTGCTGCGATCTTAACACCGCCGTGATCCCACACACCAAGTGCCGCTGTGTACAGCGCAGCCCTATCCACCACCAACAGCTCCGCCAATAAATCTGCCTGATCCGCATCTGTGACAACAGATGCTCGGTTTCCCTCTACGGGAATCCCAAGGATGGCCTCGACGTCATGCAACATGATCGTCATCTCACCGAACGGAAGGTGGAAAGAGTTCGTGTCCGGCTGCCATCGCTCAACGAAAGCCGTGATCAGCGTCGAGTCAATCCTCTCATGCATGGTGGTAGGAAGGTGGCTCACTCTAGTGCCCCTCAATCGGCCGACCATCTCGCTCTCCTCCGGCCAAGCCTCAGCCCAACTACACAAGAAGTTACAAGTCCTCTCCCGGGTTTGGCATTTCAAAATGCCGCTATCCAAAGCCCGCTCTTGGTCCTCCCAAATACGGGTAGCGATGTGTCCTAGAAAGCTAGGAATCACACTCCCGTCTATAGGTCCCCCAGCCACCTCGCCCCTCACCACCCAAGAATCATTAACGGCCCTCGACCGTTTTCTGCTAACCGCAGACACAGTGGACGCAGATGATGTGCCAGATCTACTAACAAATCTACCATCTCTACCCTTACGCACGTCTACCCTACGCGTCTCATACACATCATCAAGCCTCTGACTGAATGGACCGTAATCATCATATGGTCCACTCTGATCGTCCACATCCTCATCTGCATCCTCCTCCTCCTCCTCCTCCTCATCACCATCATCATCTTCATCATCCTCAGAATAGTGCACCCGTTCTCTACGAGCCGAGGCCGAAATACCACGGGATCTAACGTGTCTGGGCCCCGAGCTCTCCATTGAGTTGATCGTACTTCTCATAATGTCCATACTCTTCCCAGCCCCAGAACGAAAATACGATGCCTAACACAAAATAACAAAACATGTAATATGCAATATAAACATGTAATATAAACAATACATAGGAACATAAAATTAAAAATTAAAACCAGAAACAATTTTTTTTTTAAAAAAAAAAATAGAACATAAAATTAAAACAAATAAAAAAACAAAATTTTAAAAAAAATAGGGAACATACAATTTAAAAAAATTAAAAACAAATTTTTTAAAAAAAAAAAATTTCGAAAATAAAATTTAAAATTAAAAAAAAACAAAAAAAATTAAAAAAAAAAAAAAAAGGAGGAGGCGCCTAGGCAAGACGCCCGTACGGTGGTGGCGGCGCCTAGCCCAGACGCCACCACCACGGCCGTGGCGCCTAGCCTATCCGCCGCCGCCGTGGTAGTGGCGTCTGGGCTAGGCGCCGCCTCCACCGTACGGGCGTCCTGCCTAGGCGCCTCCTCCGTGGTGGTGGCGTCTCGCCTTGGCGCCCCACCGTCGCCGGAGGTTTTTTTTTTTAAAAAAAATTACAAAAATTACAAAAATTACCTTCTCGCCGGCAAACCGCCTTCCGCCCACCGCCGGAGCCGCCACTTCCTTGCCGGGCCGCCTCGACATAGCTCGGGAAATAATTTAGAGAGAGAAAGTGGAAGTAGAGAGTAGAGAGAGAAATTGTGTTTTTTAGTTTGAGGGCAAAAGTGTCATTTCACTCTTATTTTGTGGGCTTTATGTAGGAATTTGCGGGCGATGTTTAACAGTTCACTTTCCCAGAACCCCCAATTTCAGTTCAAAGTTGATTGTTTTGAGTCAATCTCTTCCTCTGTAGTGCACGATTGAGCTAATTGTTCTTTAATTTAGTTTTGCGTGATAGATTTCGATTGAAACCCTCTATCAATTGCTGGTTTTGTTCTCAAAGAATTCGTTCCCATGAAATTATGGTTTTTTATAACGAAAATTGTGAATTGCATGTGTGCGAATGTCTTCTTCGTCCAAAGCCAAGTGCAAGTGTGGAATTCCCATTGCTAGGGTGACATCATGGACTCATGAAAACCCAAGGAGGAAGTTTTAACCATTGGATTAGAAGAAGAAAGGAAATTTTGTCAATTGATGAAGAAGATGAACAGTGCAAGTTTCAAAATTTGGGGGAAATTTGGGAAAAAAATGAACATTAAGTCTCACGTGAGTAGCAAGTGCCTAAGTCAACGCCGGAGAAATATGGTCAAACTTCAAAATCCGGCATCAGGTAGTAAATTACAACATTTTTCAAAAAATAGGTAGTCATTTACAACATTTTTTTTAATAGGTAGTTTCTCGCAAATTCTTGAGTATAATAGGTAGTTTTTGACAAAATTTCCTTTATTTTTTTTTTTTATGGATGCAAACCCTTACAATACCACAAAGTCTTGTATACAGCTGGCCGTACCGTGCAGCTAGCCATAATTCTTTTTTTTTTTTTTTTTTCATTTTCTCTCCCATCTTTGTCCTCTCCTCTCCTCCATTTTCTCTCTCTAATTATCAGTGGCGAGCTAGGTCTTCCGCCATCGTCGTGTTCGTCATCTTCGTCCCGATCCTCGAAGGTCCAATCTAGATCGCCGTCTTCGATTCGTCGTTGTATTTTTGAAGCTCCTCGAAGCTCCAAACCTACCATACCTCCGTCGTATTCGTCTAATCTTCGTCTTCATCCGTACAGGCGAAATCAGTCAAATCAACCTCCACTTTCAAAAAGTTAGTTAAAGCCATTAATTAAATATAATTATAATATAAATAATAATGATAAAGATGATGATTTAGTAGGGACAGAGGTTAGACAAAAGGGAAGAAAATCAGGCATGTGCTAAGAAGATGATTTAATTTGGGGTTAATTTAGAATGCCAAATTGATGATGATTATTTGGGGTTAATTTGGAATGCCAAATTGATGATGTTTTAGAAGAAGATGAAGATCCACAAACTTCTGATGATTCATCTATGCGGGTTGTGAGGAAGGTGAGGTGGTTAGGTGCGGTGGAGGAGCAGGTGCGAAGATGGTGGCTGCTACAACTTGGGTTAGTTGGTTAATTACTAGGTTTGGTAGGGGTTACTAGGTCGAAAGGGGTTACTAAGTCGGAGGGGTTACTAGAGGGGTTACTCAGTCCGATCAAGGGTTACTAAGTCGTAGGGGTTTCTTGAGGGGTTACTCGGTTCGGTCAGGGGTTACTAAATCGGAGGGGTTACTTGAGGGGTTACTCGGTGGGTTACTAGGTCCGGACAAGGGTTACTTGGTCCGGTCAGGGGTTACCAGGTGGGTCAGGCTATCAGGGGTTACCTGGCTGGAGGGGTACTAAGTTGGTCAATTAGTGGGGTTACTTTCTCATTTGCTGATTTGGCACCCTGCCGTAGGATGCGGCCAGCCGCACCAGAAACACACTATTACAATACAATATTTGCTAGGGAGAGATTAAAGATATTTGCTGGAATAGTTGGAATCACTTTGGCTGCAATGTCACTGAAAATATTGTCAAAGAAACTGGTGAGATTTGCAATTTGGATATATTTTGTACTTCCAATAAAAATAGTCCTGTAGGATAACCACATTATCCTCAATACAATCAGTCAAAGAATTCATGCAATACCATTATTTGAGAACGAAAGGAGTAATACTGTAAATGAATTTAAAATAAAACATTTCTTATTAATGGAATTTCACAGCTGATGCATTAGTTTCAACTGGTGCTTCTAAGCTTGGTTACAAATATGTGAACATTGGTAGGTCATGCAGTGATATAGTACATATAATCCTCCTTGCTTTTCAATTCTTTTGCTTCGTCATATGATTGATGTGCAGAATTAGCTCGGGATAACAAGGTCTGTCTCTATCTTACTTGATGTATTTCTTACAATACAAGATTAATCAGAGAAAATTCATTTAATGTTTATCTTTTTTTTAATGATGTATCAGAGTAACTTTGTTCTCAAGAAATTGGCATAATCTTTCTGGGATAAAAACTGTTACAGATTATGTACACAACAATACATCAACATTTTCATTATATATTGATACTAACTTGTAGTAAAACAATGCATGGATCACTTAGACATGAGGTGCAAAACACAAATATATTTGCATTTTGGGTATCACAATTACAACTCTTTTCATTCCATATCATTATATAGTCTGAATCATATCAAGAGTTTATATATATATATATATATATATATATATATATATATTTGTATTGGTTGTAATATGAACCTTTATGATGACCAAATTATAATCAAAATCTTATAATAAAGAAATAATTATCTCCTTACCCATTTTGTGAATGACTAAATAGTAAGTGACAGTGTATCGTTATAAGCCGGGTTAATTATTTGACGACTATTACTTATAAACTAAAGTGGTAAAGAGTTAGAGTTTGTCAATTAGTTTTTGTTACATCCCAAGCCATGAATTCACGTAGTGATAGTCAACTGATCACTTTGTATGTTTCAATATATACGCTAAACAACAAGGTACATAGTTTCTTATTATTAGGGTTGCTGAATGCAAAAAACTTAATTCTAATCTATAAAGTTTGGTAATGCACAACAGAAGAAAATTAAAGAGTTAGAAATTGAGAAAATAAGAAAGTAATAAGGCATGATAAATAATAAAAGAGAAATGGACACACTACTTTGGTAATTGGATACATCTTCTCAAACAATGTCCAACACAAATATTTATAGGCGATGCATGGAGGTAGAAGACGTATGTGGAACCTTTTACACTCATGCTATTTAAATTTTCCACATAAATCTAAAACCTTCATAAGTATTCACTAATTCCAACACTCTTAAAGTAGTAGAGTTATTTAGAAACCTCGAGACATATTAAGTCGGGCTTATGAAATTTAGACCACACTAACCCAACATTCCAACACTCTTATATTTAATCTTAATAATTGCTCATACATAAGAACACAAGCCAAAAAATTCCAGGGTAAAGGAGTAAAGCAGTAAATATTACAAGTAGAGTGTATAACAAAACATCATACATCGATACAACAAATTTTTTAATTATTTCAATTTTTTACTTCTTACCTATATTTAACATTTTCTAAATATTTACTCCAATCTATCTATTTATCTATCTATCTATTTAACTTATACTAAAAGCGAATAACAAATGACACTTGTGTCATTAACTTGTGAAAAAATTTCCCGCCTTTTTATTTATTTATTTATTTTTAATGTTTTATTTTGCAAACTCAATAAATAAACTATTTACACATTATAAGATTTTCTTTCCAATTTGACACATATTCCATATATACCCAAATGAAATATTTCTGCATATCTTATATATATTTTATATGTGTAATATTATTGTAAAAAATATTTAACAACCGTGTATTGCACAGGATTTTAATCTAGTGTTGACACTAAAGCGTTGACCCAATGTTCTTAATTATTGGGTTATTAATGAGCTAGTAATTGTAAATTAAACCCAATTAAAAAAAAATAGTCTTGATTTTCTTCGTCTTGAGTCCTGACCCAATGACTTTTCCATCCTAAAAAGAAAGCCCAATTGAAAAAAAAAAGAAAAAGAAAATCGAGCATCGATGACAACCTCGAACCTTCCTAATCTCCGCTGTTCCTTTGTATATTTTCATTTTCCAGTTTCCAATTTCAACTGTGATTATATTTATTATCACTCGTATTTATACATCACCCCTAATTAAATAATTCCCTTTTTTTTCGTGCTTCTCACTATTCAACCAATTCCACTGGTAAGTTTTATCCCTTTTCTTTGATTAAATCTCATCTTTATTCTAAGTTTTATTATTTCTATATATATGTTATTGTTGCTTCTTGATCTTGTTTAATTGATTTGTTTTATTTTAAATTTCGATTGCATTGAAATCTTCGATCCCATTATTTGCAGGTCGATTATAATTTCTGGGATTTGTTTATAATTTGTACAAGAATTAGGGTTTAGAAAATGGAAAGTGGGTTTGAGGAATCAATGAAGGCTGAATCAAGCTCAAGTAATGGAGAATCAAAAGATAATAACAATAACAATAACAATAATAATAATGATGCTGGTGATTTTGAGTGTAATATTTGTTTTGAATTAGCACAAGACCCAATTGTTACACTTTGTGGTCATCTTTATTGTTGGCCTTGTTTGTATAGATGGCTTCGATATCATTCTCAATCCCATGAATGTCCTGTTTGTAAAGCCCTTGTTCAGGAAGATAAACTTGTGCCATTGTATGGTAGAGGAAAATCCAATACTGACCCTAGATCGAGGCCGGTCCCGGGTGTCGATATTCCTAATCGACCATCCGGGCAACGCCCTGAAACCGCCCCGCCTCCCCCGGGACCAGAACAAAGTTATTTCTCTAATTTGGGGTTTGGGTTGTTTGGTGGGTTTATGCCAATGGCAACTGCTAGGTTTGGGAATATGACTATGTCTGCTGGGTTTGGTGGACTTTTCCCTTCATTGTTGAGTTTACAGTTTAATGGGTTTCCTCATAATCCAATGTATGGGACCGCCCATGGGTTTCCTTATGCTTATCCACAGGCGGTACATGGTAATGCAATGCACCAAGGTCATGGGTACGAGCACGGTCATGGGTTCCAGCAGCATCATCATGGTGGTGTTGCAACTCCTGCTAGTCAAAGGCAAGATTATATTCTCAAGAATTTGTGTCTCATTATTGGCTTCTGTTTTTTGGTGGCGATGCTCTGGTAATTGTTTAGCTTCGATTCCTTTTTGATCTTGTACAATTTTTTAGCACATTTTCCATGTTAGCTGAGGAAGTTGTCCATATAATAATAAGAAGCTTATGATCACTTCCAGTGGTTTTCATCATTGTTGGAATGTAACTAATTGATGTATTTTGCTTTGCGTGTCAGACTCTGAGTAATTAAAGAAATTAAAACTCTATAATTGTTGTTATCAGTTTGTGTGCTGTCATTGTTCTTAGTCTTGAATTGTGATTACTGATGTTTGAGATGATAGCTATTCTTTTCTTTTGAAGATCTGTTCCCATATGCAATTGTGCATTGACATTCTTTCATGGGTTCACCTTTTGCTATTTCACTATTGCTTTTGGAATAAATGCTCATTTCATGCTCGATATCTTCAGTGATCTCTTTTTCCTTCAAATGCCCGAGTTTCTTAATTTAGGCATGGTGTGTTCCTTTACCTTGAATAGGAGGAGGTGGTTATGTTGCTTGTGTGTTAATGATTTGGGATTTCTTCAATTATTCTTGGGCCTGGGGACTTTTAATGCATCGATTAGCTAAAAGCTAGGATCTGAATAATATCTTATTCCTTAACACCAATGATTTATTCTTACTTTGTCTTGCTTACAAGTGAATAAACTGAAAGTGTGGTTGATGACTTGAGGGTGCTGCATGGAGTGCATAACTTACTTCCTCGGAGAATGATAGGAAATAAATTGAACCTCTGGTAAATCAGTGAGTTTTCAAACTATGCTGTTGTTATGACAGGGAGTACAAATGTACAATATACGACTTATTTGAGTCTGGGTCTACTCACCTTTTCTTTTGGTTTTGCTCCATTGCCGTTGTTTTATGTTACTCTTTGAAATTGGTGGTCTTAGAACACCTTTTTACACATTGTTCTTTTTGTCTTCTATGCATAATCCAAGTTTGAACAATTGAAGACCATTGTGAATGCAGCCAAGTTTCAACATTTTAACACTGTTTTTTTGATGTGGAATTTGATTCCCCTGTAAGTTTTTATTTATTTGAAGGCTTAAATCTGGGTTATGACTCCTTATGATAAAGTTTGAATCCATTATTTTTCTTTAAACTGAAAAATTCAGTCAAATTTAGCTATTCTCCTTTAGTCTTCACCCTTTTTTGCAGGTTCAACTGTATATTCCTTGATTCCAAATTTTTCCTAATATTGTGAGGCTTAGGCTGTGTTTGGCTGGTAGTAAGTAAAGGTAGTTTTCCTATTCATACCTCTGGTTTGTAAGTTGGAAAATCAGTTTTTTTGAGAATGAACAAGATTTTTCTTTTTCAATGAACAAATGCCTTGTTGTCCTCCCTATCTCCCAACTCCCTTCACCTCCTTCCCACTCCTACCTTTGATTTTTTTCTTTTCTCTCAAACTTTTTTTTAGCAGTGAAATAAACAAATGGATTGTTACATGTAAATCCTGTCTCCATCGAAAATAAACAAATTGTTTTTCTTTGTATAAATATGTAGCCTTATACCAAGATATTATTGTGCACACAATGTTAGTTAACAAGATAGATAAAGTATTATTTCGATGACTAAAACAGAATGCCAATTATTTTGATTTATACTTGTAAACAAAAACCAATTAGTTTTGGTATTATTCTTGAGGTTTTTTTTTTCTTGTTTGCACAATGAGAAGTCAACTGAGTTTGATGAAGCAAGGAATGTGTGGCAATGTTTTAATTTGTTCTGGGACCCTGTCCATGTCTGATTCTTTCCAAATTACTTGTTTTCCTAGTGAACATGTGATTGGAGGCAGTCTATATAGATTATCACAGCCTCTCATAAACATTCAGACGTGCAACTAACATATGACACTGCGATTTACATTTGACCATTCTAGATGGCGACATGTATAGATTCATTCTTCACACCTAAGTTTTGTGATTTGCTTTGACCCTGGTTGCCTGTAATTATGGGATGCTTATTGACAGTGCTGCAGTGGCAGTGCTTGTGAATCTGGGGAATGGGATGTATGCATGTATCAATTTGATCTAATAACCCGACTATTATGTTATTCTGCTGTTAGCATCTTGGCGCTTCACCATTATGTCCTGCTGAGCGGGTCAGTTTATGTTTGATGAATTTTTCTTTATTGGTTAGTTTAGAAACAGTAATTCAGCTTAGACTTGGGAGTTATGTGTTTAGCTTGGTTTGGCATTGCTTTACCTATTGTGTGGCTTGTTTCGAAGCTAGTGATGTAAGTTGTGCTTTAGAAATAGTATTCTTGTGTTATCTTCTCTCTTGATTTTATCTTCTTGTCATTGATATAAAAATAAAAAAAATAAAAATTCAAACTGGAAACAATTAAATCACCTACATGTATCTTTGTTATCAGAGTACCTATTCTCTATTCTTGTATTTTTGCTTTGTTATTAAATGATGAACCTACTTCTGTGGAAACATTGTGAGTCATGATTGATCAAGCAAATTTTATGATGGGAAGAATATGAGACTCATGAAAGTGCCAATTGTAGTTCTTGGTTGGTTATGGAGTTGTTTGGTTTGCTAAAAAGGAAGTTGCATTTCCTTGAAAGTAATCACTGTCCTTCCTCTGACTTACTGGGACTTCTAGTGTTTCTAGGAAAATATTACTTATGTTCTAATATACGGCCATTTAATCTGTTTGCTTATATGATCCTATCATGGCTTCATTCCAAAGAGAGTTTGGTTCTCTTTTCGAGATCATGTTAGCACAATGTACAATAAGGGGAGTTATTGGTGTCTTTAGGAGAAAATCACTCTTTCTTTTGGATTCACTTCATTAAACCAGTTGCCTACCTTTCGAGCATGCATCTATACAAACCTTGTTCATACTTATTTTCAAAAGGATCATAAATTGCTGATCAATGTTATTTTTCTGTGAACATAAATGTGGTGTGTTTTAAAACATACGGAGTATGCTTTTATGTTTCTGGTTGCATAAGCGCAATAAATGTGACAGTAGACACAAGCACACAACAGTTCAGATGTGCATTTCCAGGTGTCAGTGTTTTCTAAACAGGAAGAATCTAAGATATATTTATTGGTGCCATTGAATTTAGTGTGCAAATTGAGTTTCTTCTGTTAGCCTATTTTATTTGCTAAACAGGTTCCTCAGGCGGATTGATAGTCCATTTTAGGCCTTGTTATTTTGGGGTAATTTCTAATGTCATGTTCATTTATGGTCGATATTAGCAGGGATTTGTGTGTGTTTAAGCGGGAGAATCATGCTTGAGTCTAGACCCTAATCTTCTGTGCAGGTTTGAGATATGCTAGCCGTAATAGAAATAGTGTTGAATGTGTTATATACCGTATGTTTGAATGTGTTATATACCGTATGTTCAATGAGGATTTCCACAGCTCGCTGTTGCAATATGCTAAAAGACCAGCAAGAAATCAATGTGTCAATCAGGAATTTAGGATTTCTAGCAGTACTACAGGTTTTGTATGATTGCTTCCTTGAAAGTTCGTGTGGATCCATGAATCATTTGTCGTTAAACACAACGTCAAGACTGCGATTAGACTCTTAAACAGAGATTTAGGATATAATGCAGTTGTATTCCACAGAAGCTGAAGTTCATTGTCACCTTGAGTGTATAAATGCATGTAAACAGAGTAGTTCGGAGAAATAATGATAATACGGCAGTTTATACACAAGTTGGGCGACTTACGCTGCATGAAGTGAGAGTGAGACCCACCACATAGCTGTTCCAGTGTCGGCAGGCAATCAGGCATGCCCACTTCCCACTCATGTGTGCTCTTTTTATCTCAATCTCTCCACTTTAATGTCTTAATCATGGATTATACTTGATACATTACACTGTTGCTGATTTTAATTTGGGTTTATGCTTTTATTTTGAATGCTCACTGTCTTGTTAATTCTGCCATTATCTTGGTTGGAATTGGAATTATTTTGTAATTATTGAATTGGCAATCTATCTAGATTATGTACGTACAAGAGTAGTTGCCTCCAACTACTACTTAAGTAGAAATAGTTGTATACTAATTTGAGGTGTTAGAGTAGTGGCATGGCATTCCCATCTTGGACTCCTATAGGTATTAAATTTTATAGGACTCATTTACGGGATTTTCTTTGTCTTTTCCCTAATCCCCTCAAGCGAGTTCCCTTCGTATCTTGAAAAAAAGGTACTCCATTCGTCTCTAAATTACATTCCTACTTCTCTCTATTATGTGAGGAATAAATATTAGAAATATGAATGTAATTTAGGAACGGAGGGAGTATAAATATTTGTATAACATTAAACTTTCAAAAGTTTTTGTATGCCCCGGGTGTACAATAATATTATTGTACATCCAAATCTTACACGTGCCACAAGGCCCATAAGCAATCAAGCCATTCATGAAAAGTTGAAAACAACAACAACAAGTCGATAATCATAATCCCCAATATTTTTCTCTCATGTTTGTTCAACCAAAAAAAAGAATATTGCAACCAAATTCAACCTCAAACCACAAAAAGATAGTTGTATCTGTATAGAATCTCAATTCCACTAATCTTAATTTTCAGCCTGCAATTGATTGACCTGTTGATGATCAAATTACGAACCCTAAATTACTCAAATTGCAATACTTGCTTTCAAATTTATTGATTAACAATTCCAGTTGATTTTTCCGGTCATATTTCCGAACCTTCAATTCAAATCATGGCATGAAATTAAAATATTTAACTCTCAAATCATAATTGAAGCTACACGATGGAAACAACTACAACTAGTATTTGGTAATGTCAGAATAAGCTAGTATCCTGTTGTTATTGTATTTGTTTTCATTTTATCGCAATTCTCGCTAATATTTATGGTGATGCTTTTGATTATTTTGTGGTGGTGTCTTTCACTTATAGCTTCAATGTCGTTCTAATACTGGTGTATCACAATTTATATTATCAAGGTACTATGCAATTTTATTGATACTGAGTATATTCATAGCTTTCTGTAAAATTGTTGTTGGTGCTTAATGCTTATGTATTATCAAGGTACTATGCAATTTTATTGAATATAAGAGTATATTTATAGCCCTATGTAAATATGTCATTTGTTAATTGGAAGAGAAAATCATTATATACAAAAAAAAAACAATTTTTTATTATGTTGTTTACAAGCCTATTAGTTCAATTGGTAGAGCACTCTATGCTTCTACATACGCATAGAGGATGTAGGTTCGAGTCCTACGTAGGCTATTTGTTGT